TGGTGGAGGGATGGGTACTCAATCATTGTATGACTGAAACGTAAGCACAAAAGTTTGTAAGTCTGTATCTGTACCTCAAGGTGATTCATTAAAAATTTTTTTTAAAATCAATGTTCCTATGTTGAAAACCTGCATTTAGAGTATGACTTGTAAAGTGGTAACAAAGGTCATAAAGATGGGTCCCTAATCTGATAGAACTAGCATTCTTAGAAGAAGAATAAGATATACAAGGAGTACAAATGGGGGGAGACATGACTTAGTGGACATGTTTAGAAGGCAGCCATCTGCAAGCAGAGAGTCTGCACCACAAGTCAGCCTTGCTAGTGTCGTGCTCTTCCATTTTAATCTCCAAAACCATGAGGGTGGAGAGGGATCTATGGTTTAAGAGTTAAGGCTGGTTTAGGTGGGAGGTGGGGGTGATGGGAGGGAATCTGTGGACACTGATACTGGGAAATATACACTGGTGGAGGGATGGGTGTTGGAATACAGTGTGACTGAAATCCAATCATGAACAGCTTTGTAAGGGTCTATATCACAGTGATTCAATAATTTTTCTTTTTTAAAAAAAGAATGGTTTAAGCCAGTCTGTGGAAGACTTATGGTCACCTGAATGAACTTACAAAATCATCAACAAAAGCAGAAAGAAAGAAGGAAACAGAGGAAATGATCAATTATTTCCACCTCCCACATCTGGGTTTTCTCTGACTGGTTTCCTCTGTACCATTGTAGCGAGTCTTGCTTTACAGTCTTGTAACACCTTGCTCTTGACACAACTGTTACAGGTTGTTTGTCCTGGACTTCTGGTATTCCATGTTGCTTCTCAAGTCAGATAAATCCCCACTCAATCATGTCTCTGTTCTGATAGATTCAGCTTCCCCAGCCTAGGATTCTCTGGGGCTCATCTATATTCTAACGTCTTTCTATGCTTTTAGAAAAATTTACCTTAATATCCTTTTATTTTTTAAGCAGTAGATTTGATTTTCATCAAGTTATATATTGCATAGAGTTTAAAGAACCAAGTAATTCCATAAGACTTATTTCTAAAAAGAATGATACTAATAGTTGCCTCCCAATTTTTCCAACAGAGTCCATGAGAATCAAAATTTTAAGCCAATTATTTTAGTATTTATAGCCTGTCTTTTAATAGCATGGTTAAATAGTTGACTCTTGTTTTTGTTTGTTTTGTTTTGGGGCACACCTGGCAAAGCTCAGGGATTACCCCTGGCTCTGCACTCAGGAATTACCACTGGAGTTGCGGGGGGTGGGGGGGGAAGACAGAGGGGGTTACATGTGAGAGGGGGTTACATGGGATTCCAGGATTGAAACTGGGTTGGTTTTGTGCAAGGCAAACTCCCTGTTCACTGTACACTTTCTCCAGTTCTTTGGGTTGTTTTTTGTTTTTTGTTTGTTTTTTGTTGTTGTTTTTAGACATTACAGATAAATTCCTTACCCCTAACCTTCCCAATAAAGTAATTGTACAATTTGGAATTCAGTTTTCAGTGTTCATATTATTAATGGTCATGTAAAGGATATACATGTTATTCAATTATTTATTTTTATATTGAAGTTCTTATTTTTCTATAGTAAGTAATTATAGAAATAACTGTAAATATATGTTAGTAACTGTAAATAATAGTTTTCTGAGTAACATTCTCTGCACTTATCCCTAATTTGTTCCCAAACAATCTCCCATATATGTAAATCTTTCCTCAATAGTCTCAAGTAAATCAGGTGTTTTATCATTTTATCTTCATTATTTTCCCTTGGATCTTTCTCTGCTGTTGCTGGGGCAAACTGGCCTCTAAACTGGCTATGCAATGTCCTCAATCTCTCTCTTGATTAATCCCTTCATTTTGGCCCAATTCATCCTTTTAAGTGGCTTTCTGAAAAGGGGATTCAATTAGAGGTAAAAGTTTTTAGAGCTGTGAACATTTCTGAAAATGCTATTATTCTACCCTCACATCTAGTTGATAGTTTGCCTGGGAATGCTAGGAAATTTCCAAAGATTCGAAGACATTGTTCTGTTGTCTAGATTCTATCACAATGCTTGAGAAGACTAGTGAAATTCAAATTCTTCCTTTCTCTATTTATCGCTTCTCCTATGAGGCCAACACTCCTCAACTTTTCTCTCACACAGTGCTCTGAAGTTTTTGTGGATACATTTTCTTTCATACTGCAAGGTGTCTGTGAGCTCTTTTAACATGGAAACGTGTCTTTTAATTGTAGAAATACTCTGAGATTATTTCATGGACAATAAACTCCCTTCTGCTTTCTAGAACACCCATTACTAGATTTAGAAAGACCCATTCACTAATTTAAAAATCTTTTTACTACCATTTTCTTTTTTGTCTCTTTGCCCCATTGTCTATTAAATTAGAGTTGGTTGAATTTTTTATTTCTGCTCTTGTATCTGTAATTTCCAACAACAGTATTTGATCATTGAACATTATTTTTTTTTCTGTTCTTAGCATTCTTTTCTTTTTTCTTGGATGCAATAAACTTCCATCTCTTTGAGCACATTAAGGGCAGTATTCTTTTTAAAGTTTCCTTCACTGATTTTAATGTTTTTGTTTGTTAGAGTACTTTAAGGAAGCTTGTTTTCTTTTCTATGTGTTTTGGACTTGGGGGAGGGGTAGTGTTGCACGTATGGCAGTGCTCCTGTCTCTGTGCTCAGGGATCATTCCTGGCTATGGACGCATAGCTCTTCAGCTTACAGAAGATCCTGAGCTTTCTTATGCAACTGGCTGAGCATTTCTCAGAAAACTTGTGCTCAGGGATAGGGTCAGAGGGCGGTAAGACACTGGTGAGCATAGTCACTCAGTACTGAACATAGTCCATGGTCTCCACCTGGTAATGGACCACGTCTTTTACTTCAGTCACTGCTCCAGATGTCCACCTCCCCTTCTCCAGCGGCATCAATGTCCCACCAGCTTGTGACATCACCTATAAGGTGCTGTGGACCATACTGGGACCTGGCCCTGGTCCTCAATAAGCTTATTAACTAAACGTAGCAATAAGCCTCAATTTCACTCTTTTCTCCTTCCTCCATTTTAACCCCTCAGAATGTGAGTGTGCCCAAAACTCAATGATATGAGAGCATTTGTTATATTCTAATGTTTTTCTTTTCTTTCTTAGTGGTATAGGAAATAAGATTGACCTTTAAAAGCTAAGAAGAACACCAATTGAAAAGGAAACAACATATTGCATAAACAGGGTGTCAAGAGGAGGTTTTCTAATGTGGTTTCTTCTCAATGGGTTATTCTGGTTCTTTAGCATCGCCAGTCCTATGAAACCACAACAACTAAATTCAAACGTTACCTCCTCTGGGAAGCCTTTTGTATTGCTTCAGGCCCACCATCCAATACGGATTCACAGTCAATCCCATGGACTCTGGGACTTTCTTGTGATCTCGATTGCTAGCCTGTAGTACACTTGTCCTGTCATGAACCCATCAGTCTTCCATCCAACCAGGAGCTCCTGGATAGTAATTGAACACCTCTATGTTCCTGGAACCCAATACGGAATCTGGCTTGTGATAGAGCTCAGTAAATGTCAGATGAACACATGGTGGAGGGATTGCTGCTAGTAATATCCATTCTACACTAGAGGTAACATTGGAGTAGCTCAGAAGAAAGATCGTACACAGGCTTGGACAGGCCAGGTGAGCCTTCAAGAAGGGGGAAGACTCTGTGTGAGTCTTCGGGCAGGAAGTCTGATACAGTCATTCAGGGTGACAGAGAGAAAGGAGAAAGGAGCAGTGCTACAATCTCCATCTCTCCTGGTTAAACCTGCAGCAACAGCTCTTGCTTCATTGAATTTTGTGTTTGAGTTGCAGGAGGCTATGGGATTTTTTAGTCATCATCATCCTTAGCCAGTAAACTCTGGGTGCTGAAACAATGCCCAGGTTCAGAGGAAAAAGCAGTTTAGTTCTCCTAAGCTGTCACAGGAAGTCTTGAACACACATCGATTTTGTGGTTTCAACCTCAGCGCTTCCTGCTTTCCCTTTGACAAGGGTTAGCAAGGCTAAGAAGCCAGAGACGGGCAGCAGCAGGGTTACAGATGTGGCCCCAACACTCCAGAGCAGGTGCCTTCTCACTGTCTAGTGTCTGAGAATCTTAACTGAAAACTGTTGTGTTGTTTCCTTTTTTCTCCATTTGCCCAAAGGACAGCAAGCTCAGCTGCTGGCTGGAGCTAGACCTGGCCTCCCCATGGTGGCTGTGTAAGATGCACTAAGATATCACCATGTTCTTTCTTGGCTTGCTCTTTGTAGGCTGGCAGGCTCATCTCCTCATTTACACCCCCCAAACTCAGGGGTTCCCTTCTTTCCGGGCTCAGTTCTACAGGCCACCATACCGAGTTCGAACCATCGCAGGAGTGAGTCCCCATAGATGATACCTTCTGGGGGCTCCTGCTGAGTTTTCCACTCACGAGACAAACCTCAACTAGGCAGTAAGACCCACTTTGCACCCGAGTCCCAGGGCACATGTTGTGGTCATCAAGGGGGGGTTGGACAAAGTGGGTGACCAAATGGAATTCTGCTGCTGCACCCCTTTCTCCTTCAGCCGCCTGGTGCAAGACTGCCGTCGACAATTAGTGGACACTGAGTCAAGTGAAAGCCTTTATTTCACATACACTCCCCTCACGGTGGGGTAGGCCCAGCAGGTGCATCGGAAATGCAGAGCAGATCACAGCACGGTGACTCTGGAAAGTTCTTATCTGAACTGTCCTGGGTGGCTGGGGAGAGGAGGGGGACTCGGTGCTGGGACCCAGCCAGTGTGCGCACTTTGCAGTGTCTGGGGCTGGCAGACTCCAGAGTTCAGCCCTTGTCTGAGTCTGAGGGCGTGGCCAAGGCCCTGGGTCACCTCATGGGAAGCGATTGTGCTGTCCTACCAGAATGTTCCCAGGGAGGCGCTGGGCTCCATCCCAGAGTGAGCGACTCTGCAGCAGGGAAAGGTCCCTTCTCTCCATCTCAGAGGTGGGAGCACTGTCAGGCGTGCTCTTTAGGTTCCCCGCAGCGGCTTCAGCTGAGCTCGAGGCCTAGGGAGGGGAGGGCCTTTGTGCGGGGGTACTGGGGGGAGAGGCACCTTCTGTTGCGGGTGTGGAGCCTGGAGACGTTGGCTCGGGGCCTGCGGGCTATGCCTCGAGGGTGGAGGAAGCTGAGCTGCCGTATTGGGAGCAGAACCAGGGGCACGGCTGGGCTTCTGGCCTCTGTCCTTGGTGGGAACCCTGAGAACCCTGATCTCCACTTGATCTGCAAAAAGAGAAGAGTTTGTCTCACTCCATGCTCACCAGCAGCTGTTTACTGAGCATCTCCCACAAACCTGCAGGGGGCAGAGAGAAGCAGAGCCCCTCCCAACACACCGAGCCCTGTAGGGTCAGGGACAGCGGGACCCCTTGACTGAGGGAACTCCGCAGGGAGCACTCAGTAGGAGCCATGGGTCCGGCCCCCTTAGGGCTCTCCTGTGTGTGGTTTAGAGATAGCACCCGAGAGTGAGCCCCTAAGTTTTGAGCCCCTGAACTCAGTCAGCAGTGTGTGGGGGGGGGGGGGGTGGGAGGGGCGGCCCTTAGTCTCCCCACCTGCAGAGCTCAGATTTCCTGTTTGCCCAGTTCCCCTGAAACGCAGCCATGGTCAGCAGTGCGCGCAGCCTAAGAAATCAAGCTGTTTCCCAGAAATCCATCAAGCAAAGGTTTGACGGAAAGGAAGTCCTCCTGGGCAGCCTTTGGGGATTTGCTGCTTGGGGCTGGGGGCAGGCAGTAGTCTGTGAGCTCTGTCCAGAACTGAGGCTATTTGCAAGCCCAGGTGAGTCCAGGAGAGGCTCAGTGTTCAGGCCTGGCCTACAGGTGCCCTGGCCTCTGTGAGGCTTCCCAGCCTCCCTGTCCCTGCCCCGATCAGCCCCACAGCCCTGGATGGGCTTCTTCAGGAGGTATCGACTTCTCTGGGCCGCACATGTGGCTTTTGGTGAAGAGCCAGACTTCAGACCCTGCTGGTCTCACTTCAGTATTGACACAGAGCGTTACCAAATGCAGTTCCAACAGGCCCCCAGGGAAGGGAAGGTCTGCCCCTGTGTCCTCTCCCAGGCCCATGGAGCCCAGTTCCCGCTGTGGGACAGTGGGCAGCGCTGGCCCAGCCCCTCCACAGCAGCTGGGCTCCTGCTGGCTGACTAGTCTATTCCCTCGGTGTCTTCGCTTTTTCTTCCAGCCCCATCTTCTGGGTGTCAGAGGCCATTCCTGAATGGCAAAGGTGGCTCGTCTGTCCCCAGGGACCCAACATCACGTCAGGCCAGGCCCGGAAGCAAACCAAACCCACCATGGTAGTGTCAGTCAAAGGAGTGCCAAGAGCCTCCTGAGTGTGGGAAGGAGGAGCTGACAAGCAAGCAGCCGAGACCTCAGCCTGACTCAGACAGTCGAGGCTGGCAGAGGGCAAGATGCTAACCCTATCCCTCACACCCTAGTTCCAGCACTGCCCACCCTGCTCAGGAGCGGCTCCACCCATTGTCCGTCCTTACTCCGTCTCCTGCAGCCCCAACCAGGCATAGGGCAAGGGGAAGGCAGGCAAGACGCCAGGGCACTGACCTGAAGCGCAGGCTGGGAGATGGGGCAGAAGCCAATGTTTGAGTTCTGACTGCAGGAGGGAGTCTGGGCTTGACCCCCAGCTCTGCGTGGGTCCCCAAGCACCACTGGGATTAGACCCCTGAGCATGGAGCCGGGGTACTCAGTGAAGCTAATACCACGTATGACTTGTAAAGAAAACCAAACCAAGAAAAATTAAAGCAGGTTGCTAGGCCCAAACTGATGACAGGCCGCATGAGCCTGAGGCCAGAGACTCCCTCTGCACCAGGCCACCGGGACACGGGCTGCCCCAGCCTCAGCAGATGGCTGGGGACAGTGGCTAACAGTGGGGACTCCCTCCTCTGTACGAGTAGCATCTCCAGACCATGGCCCTCAAGCAGAGCAGAGCCCTGCATACAAGCCACATGGGTCATTTTAGCTACGGAAGAGGCGGGGGTTAGGTGATGAAGAAAAGGCCTACATGGGGGCTGGGGTCCAAGAAAGCCCAAGCAGGCCAAGGGCTGCTGTGAGGATCTGTGACATTCTACAAGACAGGGCAGGAAGCGGGGCAAGGAGTGCAGGCACCAGCCCACATGGCAGGTCACAGGGCTGAAGGGGACCCCAACAAGGAGGTCTGAAGCTGGGCAGCCACATCCCCGGGTGGCCCAAAGCCATACCGCCTGGAGTGGGTATGGGGAGTTCTTGTGGGGTCTGAATAGCTCATGCTAGGGAGAGGCACAGAGTAAGACCCTCTTCCTGTTCTCCTGAGAATGGACAGGGAGTCCCAAGAGCCAGCCTGCCTCATTACATGTCCCATCTGTGACTGGTTGCTGAACCCCCCTGCAGTTTGGGGTCTCCACACTTTCTACCCCTTGAGACACCAGGCACTGTTCTCTGACTCCAGCAACCTGGATACTCCTAAACCAGGGTCCAGAGGACCATAACCTGTTCATGTGTGGGGTGGCACAGCTCAGACCTGGCTGAAGGAGCCCACAGCTCTCCTGCATCCTATAGACAGCACACTGGAAAGGGGAGACACCTCATCACCGCACCTGTGCGGGCCAGATTGGTGAAGCAACTCACCTGCATGTGGTCAACCGATCTGTCCCCGCACCACAGGATCCCCACCCAGAGCAGCCCCTGAGCATCTCTGGCTGGACATGTGCCCCAAGAGAAAGCCTGTGCTCTGAAGCCCCCATTGTCCTGGTTTCCACCTGTGGTCTGAGGGCACAGGGGTCCTGGACATACCGAGGCCATCCCTTTGCAGAGGAAAAGCTGTTCAGAGAAAATCTAGAGCAGATTTGCATAGAGAGGTGGACTGCCCTCCCCCCCAATACATCTCCACAGCCTCATGCAGGGTCAAGGGTCAGCTTCCCAGAGTGCCCCCCCCCATCCTCCCCAAGTCTTGACTTCATTCCCCAGAAATGAATCTCGATGCCCAGTTGGCTAGACCAGCAGCTGGGTAGAGATTGGGCAGCCTGAAGACGCCCACCCACAGCATCCTCCTTTCGTGCCACCCTCCCAAGTGTCCCGTGGGGATTCTGCGTCCGTTCCCCTAGGTCTGATGTGGGCACTGGAGGGGGACTCACCATTCCTCCCATGGGCTGGCTGTTTCCTCCTGCTGATGTAGAAGATGAGCAGCGCCACAAAGAGCAAGGTCAAGGCGCCAGCCCCGCAGATACCAAGGAGGAGATTCAGGTCCAGTTTCTTCTCTGCAAGGAGAACACAGATGTTGGGCAGCGAGACAGGATGGGGGTTGCATCTCGGCTTGGCAGAGGACTCCCGGCCCCACAGGAAGAAGGTCAGAGTGTGATGAACTTTTTCACCAGCCAAGGTCAGGGAGGTGATGGACTGAGTCTGTTCCTGAGAGGGCCTGGGTCCAGGATCAGCTACCCCCAGAATATTCTGTGAGCACTACTTTGTGGGACCAGAAATTCCCTATTGTTCCTATGCTGAATCCCTGTCCACTGACTCTGAGAAGCTTTTAGACCATGAGTGAAGCCTCTGGCTTCACAGAGGGGCTCAGAAAGAGAGGGTGAATTGCCTGAGGTCACACACCTCCTCCCCTCTCCCTGTGAGAACCCCTGCTTGTGTTTTCACACTGGGTTCAGCTTTATCTGCAGCTGTCCTTTAACTGGCACTTCCTAAAGCACCTAAGGGTAAATATTTCACTTTTCCAGCCCATCTCTCTGGTCTCAGACCCAGCACCCCCACTTCACCCCTACATACCCCAGATTTTCCCTGGCTAGTCAGAGAAACTCAGCAGCAGAGGAGATTTTCAGTTCCCAGATCCCCATTTGCTGTCTCATCCTCAGGCAAGGAGGAGCACAGAGGAAAGGGTTTCTGGCTCAGATAATCTAGTTATGTGCTGTGTGACCTTTGACAAGTTGTTCCACCTCTGGGCCTCTTCCCTTTGTAAACCCAGAAATAAAAAAACTTACATCACAGGGAGACAGTTGGAAATTAAGCCAGCAATCAGTGTGAACATGTTTTGTAAGCCACCAAACAGCTCAAAGGCGAGGTCCTACCTCGTCCTGAGGGGCAGTGTCTGGGAAGGGGGTGTGTCTGCCCTTTGTGAGTCCTTGAAGAAGCAGCAGCTAGGGCCAGAAGTCAGGGGATCTCAATTTCTGGTCAAGAAACTGGAGCTCAGCCAAGCACTGACCGCCCTTCTCCTGCCCAACTCCACCAGGAATGTAGAGCACCGGGAGGCCCTCACTGGGTCCCAGGAACCAGCATGGGCTCAGAGCCACAGTGGCCATGTCAGACTGACTACCCGGCCTCTCTGTTGGGGCCTGGGGTCCTGCTGTTTGCCTGCCAAGGACACAACCTTGTTCTCTGCTGAGGAAGGCGCTTTCAAGGGCAAAGATGCCAGGAAACAGGGCTGAGAAGAGGCTCAGGGTCCATGAGGTGGTGCTAACTCAGAGGAAGGGGTAAGGCAAGGGGTAAAGCAAGTCGGAGGCACATGATTGAGCTCTGAGGCCACCAACTGATCTTCTCAGAGCCCTACAACGGGATGGCCACTGCTTGTCAAAGGCACACTTGGGTCTGGGGACACTCACAGTGTGTCCCTCTAGGGCAGGGGGACACCCCCACTTGTCTCTGCAGCACGTGTGCCCTACCATTATTTTCATTTATTCTGGTGCTGGGCATGGAAGCCAGGGCGCTACACATGTGGGAGCCTCTTCTCCACTGAGCTGCGTTCCCCGTATTGGCCCTGCAGTCAACTGTGTCTGCAGAGACTCCAGATACAGCTATGCTGCCCCCAGTGTGCTCTTTGGAGACCGGGTTTCCCTAGTTTCTGTGTCCAAGCCAGCTCCTTGCCCACCCTGCCCTTTCCAGAGCGCAGAGGTCAGTTGTCTCTTTGTTCCTTTGCTTTTTGACCCTTAAGGAACCAAAGAGCAGCCTCCTTTTCCCGATCTGGCAGGCGTCTCTCCCACTCATCTCTAGGGTGGCCTTTTCCTGCAAACTGCATTCTGGTGTCTGGAGTAGAGACTCTGAATCAGCCAGACTCTGAACCTCACTTCTCCCAGGGCCCTGCTGTTCCCACCCGACACCAACCAAATGTACACACCTACTGGTCAAACTGAGAAGGAAGAGGAGCCAACGAGGGAGGGACCTCTCAAAGTCCCCCTGGAAACCAGAACAGGAGCTCGGTGGCCATGCACAGCTTGGCCCCCAGCCCACTGAGGCCATGCAGCAGGGCTGCCTCTCAGCAGGTGCCTCTGTGCTGAGGCTCAGGTCAGAGTGCCACGCCAGGGCATAGCTTTGAATCTTATAGGTCCATGTCTGCGTGGCTCTGAAGCCAACATCAGCTGAAGCGGAGCCAGGCACTGCCCTCCTGAGCCCCTAGCTCTCCCTCCCACTCCATGCGTCCTCCCCTACCACGCCCTGACGCCAGGATAGCCCCTCTTGACTTTGCCCCTCCAGAAAGGAAAACTTTTTGCTCTCTTCTTCATCATTTACCCTAGGAATCACAGTCAGAATCACTGAAAATATTGGGCAAGTCAGTTTGCAGCTCCAAGAAATGGGAATCTGCAGGATGTAACCTGGATAGCTCTTCTGCCTCTTTAGCCTGGCAATTCTTTCACTCAGAAGAGAATTTCTTTAATTGAAGTTAAATTGTGTTTCATGGGAGACTTCCTGCATAAAACACCAAAGAACACACCCCCACTCTCTTCCTAAGTTTTGTGGAGAGCCTCCCTGGGTAAAACACTCTCATCCTGAAGAAGAGGTGTGCTGTGCCAGAGACAGTATAGGGGTCAGTCACCTGCCTTGCACATGACTGACCCTGGTTCAATCCACACATGGCCCCCCAGTTACCAACTGGAGTGAGTCCTGAGCACAAAGTCAGTAGTAAGCCCTACACACCAGTAGGTATACCCCTTAAACAAACAAAATGATAGCACAGCGGGTAGGGCGTTTGCCTTGCACGCTGCCAACACGGGTTCGATTCCTCCTCCCCTTTTGTAGAGCCCAGCAAGCTACCGAGAGTATCTCTCCCACACAGTAAAGCCTGGCAAGCTACCCGTGATGTATTCAATATGCCAAAAACTGTAACAAGTCTCACAATTTGTTGTGAGATATTACTGGTGCCCATTCAAGCAAATAATGAACAAAGGGAGGACAGAGCTAAGAAAAAGAAGTGGAAGGTTTTCAGTTTTTATCCTGAGTCAAGGCTTCCTCACAGAGCAAGTCCCCTGGACCTGGATTGGGCTATTTTTGCAAAGTGAACTTGCATATAAGATTAGTACTGGCCACGTACCTGAACAGTCAAAATTCCCCTTTTTGGTTTCCTTATTGATGTTGTTACTGGCTGTGCACTGGAATTCAGTCTTTTCCATGTAGAACTGGGATCTGATCGTCTTCATATCATTGTGGGTCTTGTTCCCATTTAGAGACAGTTCTAGCTTAATGTCAGTTCCATTTGCTACACAGCATGTCAGGGTTTTGTTTTCACAATCCCACGAGATGATAGGTTCTGACACTCTCTCTAGAAAGAGAACAAAGATCCAATCCTTACCAGGCCACTTTCTGATTCTAGTAGCATACCTATTTACAGAGGTAGGAAGGGTAGCAGAGGATGGAGACAGTTTGGGGACAAGAAACAACTTCATGACCCTTAACTAGTTTTGAAATAAAGTACATTTAGAACATATGTATTCCTGATTAAGTTCATAGGTGCAGTAAACTGGTGAAAATGAACCATATCAAATGTTATTGTGCTGCTTTCTATATTAAAATGTATTCACATATATGATATATTTCACTCTAAAAGACAGGCGAATATCTTTCTTTCCATCTACAAATGAATTGTCCAGAGCTCTGAGAGGTGAAATGTGTGTTCCAAGAGCCCTCAGTTAGAAATGGAAGATTGGGAGAAGAGTTTGATGTGTTTGGATGAGGGTTTTCAAATCTTTTTCCCTTTGCACCTCACCTCAGCATTTGAGCGAGCACTGCTTCAAGAGTAACCACATCTTCTCCATATGTGTCCAGAAACCTTTGTCAAAAGTGTAAACCCAAGCCCTCCACTTGATACCAGGTTCTGGGAGCAGAGGGGTCAGTGGACTACTCAAATTTGGGGGAAGAAAATACCATCCCCTGTTCTCTTCAAAGCTGCTTAGTCACTTACTGGACCTTGCAGAACCTCATCTATAAGAAAAGGAGAAGAAGTAAACTTAAGTGCCATAAACATATGATTGGATAAATAATAGAATTCTATTCTGCTATTTTTTAAATGACAAAGTCATACTATTAACAAGAAAATGGATGAACTTGTGGGCATTATGCATAGTGAAATCAATAAGATTGAATGAATTCAAATACAAAATGGTCCTAGTCATATGTTGTTTAGAGAAATATAAAACAAATCAGTTAAATGAATCAAAAGTAAACTTTGAGACTCTATGATTAAATTAATAACCATCAGAAGGAACGGGAAAAAAGGTGGATAAATTGTGTGAATGCAATCAATTGTGTGGGGAAAGGTAGAGTTGGACATTTAGTGGTGAACTTCATATAACACCTAAAGACGTTAGTATATGGCAATGCACACTTGGTGCCCAACTCTCACAACTCAGCTTCACTGCCGGGTCACAGTTCTGTCACTGCCATGGCCCAACAGAACACAGTTTCTCAGTCCCAACACAGACCCTTTGGAGCACCAGATATAATAAAGAGATAGAGGATCTCACCCATACTGATGGATCAAAACAAGAGTCTAGGAAGAACGGATAGGGCAGAGCTGTGCAAGCTTTGAGGAAGATGTCAACGCAATAGTCCTAAAGATGCTCACTAAAATGAGTAATCACTATCACAATAGTAAAGCAATGCAGAAACCCACCAAGATTAGTTAGTGAAGAAACTAGCCCAGAAGACCCACCCAGTAATGTTGCACTAGACAACCTCTCTGACAAGGAATTTAGAAGGATACATAGGGAGCTAAAAGAAAAAATGAAATGCACCTCCAATACAAGAGAATTTGAGAGCAGAAATATGGGAAGTGCAAATAAAATTACAAACAGAATTGACAGGTCTGAAAAACCTGGTAGGTGTATTGAAAAATTCAGTGAAGGCCTCAGCAGCAAAGTAATAGCTGCTGAGGACAGAATCAGTGAGCTCCCAGATGAGGTGCAGAGAATCTCCAGACAACAACAGAAAATGGAAAAGAGTCTCAAAATGAACCAACAGATATCAAGAGAAAATCGAGATGAAGCCAAGAGGAATAACAAAAGAATCATTGGAGTCCCAGAGTGACAGGAAGAAAATCCTGACAGAGAAGAAATTGTCAAAGACATCATTGCTAAGATGTTCCCAGCACTGAAGAGCACATGTGACAAGATTCAGGAGGCCAAAAGGGTACCAGTTAAAAGAAATCCATACCAAAATATTCCAAGATACATCCTTATCACAATGACGAAAACCAGAGCCAGAGACAAAATTCTGAAAGCAGCAAGATCACGATCACGATCATGATCATCCTGTTGTTTGTCGATTGCCTCAAGCAGGCACCAGTAACGTCTCCTTCGTCCTAGCCCTGAGATTCTAAAAAGTGCCACATTCAAGGCTCTTTCAGGGTTAGGAGAACGAGACCCATCATTGTTACTGGTATTTGGCATATTGAATACAACAAAGGAAGTTTGCCAGACTCTGACGCGTGGGCAGGCTATACTCGGTAGCCTGCCAGGTTGTCAAAGCAAGAATGAGATAATAAGATGTCACCCGGCTGTGCACTTCCGGGAGCTGGGTTTTATAGTTTCTGGGTCTTGACCGTTGATGGGATTACACAGTGCCAGGGGACAGTTGGTGGGTGTGACCCCCGCCTACTGGAAGATGGAGGATCTGGGTGAAGGATGCTCAGCCCCAATTCGAGTAGGCTTGGAGATCTCAGACCCTGGACCCGCATGCCTTCATTCCTCGCCGGTACCTTCATGCATGTGGAGAGTGGTCTCAGCATGGTTGTAGCTGGTTCCGGAGGTCTTTGGGGCTCTGCCGGGGCTCTGCTCGGGAGGGGGAGGGAAATTCAACCTGCACCTCTCCAAGGGGCCCCAGCGAGGACAGCCAGGTGTGGGGGCAAGATCATAGAAAGAAATTGCCTATAAAGGAGCATCCTTAAGATTTACAGCCGACTTATCTGATGAAACCCTAGGGCCTGAAGACAGTCGTGGGATATAGTGAAAAAACTCAATGAAATAAATGCCTCACCAAAACTACCTAGCTAGACTCTCATTCATATCGGAAGGAACAACATTCATATCGGAAGGAACAACACAGTTTCACAGACAAACAACTCAGGAACTTCACAGACTCAAAACCATGGTTACAAGAACACCTAAACAGGCTACTTTAAGACAAGGCAAAATCCTCAAATACACCAAACTTCTGCACAAAACTTCATAACAATAATCACTCTTAATGTCAATGGGCTAAACACACCAATTAAAAGACAGAGTGGCAGGATGGATCAGAAAATTGAACCCAACATTGTTCTGCCTGCAAGAAACACATCTGAACAGGCTGGAAATCAAAATCTGAAAAACAATTCTACAGGCAAAGAACTCCCTCAAAAGAGCTGGAGTGGTGATTCTGGTATCAGACACATTGATTTCAGACTGAAGAAGGTCACAAGAGATAGTGAAGGTTATTTCTTATTGATCAAGGGATCTGTATGCCAGGAAGAACTTATACTCCTTAATGTATATGCACCTAATGAGGACCCAGCAAAATACTTAAAACAACTACTCATAAACTGAAGAAAGACATTGATAGCAAGACAATACTAGTGGGAGATTTCAACACCACTTTATCACCTCTCAATAGATCAACCAAACTCAAGCTTAGTAAGGACATACTTTATCTGAGGGAAGAAATGGAAGAAAGGGGCTTAAAAGATATATAAGATATATATATGTATATATATATATCATCCTTAAAAAGTTGAATATACATTCTTCTCAAGTATGCATGGGACATTCTCCAAGATAGACCGCATGCTGGGCCAAAAAACATACTTCCATGAAATTAAGAAGATAGAGAATGTATGGGCTGGAGCGATAGCACAGCGGGTAGGGTGTTTGCCTTGCAAGCAGCCAACATGGCTGACCCAAGTTGGATTCCTCTGCCCCTCTCAGAGAGTCTGGCAAGCTACCGAGAGTATCTCACCCTCACAGCAAAGCCTGGCAAGCTACCTGTGACGTATTCGATATGCCAAACACAGTAACAATCGTCACAATGGAGACATTACTGGGACCGCTCGAGCAAATCAATGAACAACGGGAGGACAGTGACAGTGACAGTGACAGAGAATGGACCAACGATATTCTAAGACCATAATGTGCTGAAAAATAGACGTGAATCACACACACAAACAGAAAATCAAATCAAACACCTGGAAATTAAACAGCTCACTACTGAACAATGGGTGGCTTAGAAAGAAAATCAAAGAGGAAATCAAAAGATTCCTGGAAACAAATGAAAATGAAGACACAAGTTGCCAGAATTTGTGGGACATGGCAAAAGCTGTGTTAAGAGGAAAGTTTATAGCTCTACAAGCATTCCTCAGGAAGGAAGAGTGAGTCCACATCAATATCCCAGCTTAAGATCTTGGAGAATGACCAACAAAAGGAGCCCAAACCAGACAGGAGGAAGGAAAAATAAAACTTAGAGCAGAAATTAATGAGATGGAAGCCCAAAAAAAATCCAAAAGATCAGTGAAACCAAGAGCTGGTTCTTTGAGAAAATAAACAAGATCAATAAACCACTAGCAAGACTCACAAAGAGTGAGGGGGGGGAGAAACCCCTAATAAACTGAATCAGAAATGAAAACGGGGTACATCACAACAGAAACTACAGAAATTCAAAGGATTCTTAGAGATTACTCTGAGAATCTTTATGCCACAAAACAAGAAAACTTTAAGAAAATGGATAAATTCCTGGGTTCCTGTAGCCTCCCAAGGCTGAACCAAGAAGACCTGGAGTATCTGAACAGACCTATCACCATCAAGGAAATTGAAACAGTAATAAAAAAGTCTCCCCAAAAACAAAAATACTGGCCCAGGTGGATTCACTAGTGAATTCTTCCAAATCTTTAAAGAGAACTTACTCCCAACCCTTTTTAAGATTTTCCAGGAAATTGAAGAATCAGAAACACTTCCAAACAGTTTCTATGAAGCAAATATTACCCTGATACCAAAGACAAAGATACCACAAAGAACGAGAATTACAAGCCAATATCCCTGATGAACACAGCACAAAGATCCTCAACAAAATACCAGCAAATAGAATCCAAAAACTCATCAAAAAGGTCATACACCATGACCAAATAGTATTCATCCCAGGGACACAAGGATGGTTTAACATTCACAAGTCAATCAACATAATCCATCATATCAATAAAAGAAAAGACAAAAAACCATGTGATAATATCAATAGACGCAGAGAAAGCATTTGACAAGATCCAGCACCTGTGCATGATGAAAACTCTTAGCAAAATGG